GTGGTACAGTGATTTCCTTTCATAATCAACAGTGGACCCTTCCTAGGGTGTTGAATGACACCAAGACAGGGGCAGATCCAGGATTTTTCTTAGGACGGGGTGCACCACTAAGGAATGGCATAACAGACTAATGAGGTAAACAAACTTTAAACGCGAATACGAAGAAGAAGGCTTCATCTCAGGGGGTGCACACCCCCTGCACCCTCCCCCTAGATCTGCCCTTGCAAGAAAAATGCACATCTTGCTAATTGACTGGAATTTAGCCAAATAATAATCACAATATATACTTTTGAGAGGAAGCACACATGACATTAATATATAGTGAAACTCATAGGGTGCCAACAAAAATATGAATAAAATATGTGCCTTAAGGCTTCAAAGCTAAAAATGATTCTTTTGACTGATAATTTTTGTGACACCTTCTTGGAGTCACAATTTCTCTTACAAGCTAAGAGGCTAAGATTATCTTGTGCTCACAAAAAAAAATGTCTTGTCATCTTGCACAGACTTGTATCCATTGCAAACTGAATCACATGGCCTACCCCTCTAGTTGTGCAAATGCATCATTGATGATGCAGCTAGAAACAATTTGCCCCCATTCTTCAATTTTGTATTTTTTCTAAAAAATAAGATTTTTTGCCTCAGTCTCTATGGCTTCCTATGACTTGAAGGTAACGTTGTACATTTAGGCCTTATGCGCCACTCTGGCTCATTGAATTAGGTAACAATCGAACGTATCAAACCTGACTTATAGAAAAATGAGGATGACAATCCATCAATCACAGCCAACCTTCAAGCTACGTACTGTATGATGATAAGTTGAGCAATGAAGTCTAGCTGTAATCAATCAAAACACAGGGGTGTCATTTTGAGTCACCTTTTACCTTGGTCTTCACACCCATAACAACCTTGTTGGTTTGTGGGTGACTTTTATCAACAATAGGCAAGTTCAACCATAACATCAAGGGCTAAGGGGATACTCACCCGTAACACTAGGGTGTTACAGGTTACAGCCCTGAAACACCACAATCTATGTCCCAGGTAACTAAAATCACAAAAACAAATGACAATAACAGTAGTTTCTTATTATGACTAAGTTAATTTGCTGACACAATGTTATACAGCCATAGCCCATAATTTTGGTTGGAGACAAAGTAGGTCACATTACCCCAGTTCTGCTAAGTGTTCCAGGGAGTATAAAACAAAACCTCTGTAAAGTGAGATCCATGGTATGAGTTTTCAAATGCAAACTTGATCTGTTCGAGCATAAGTTCTTTTTTAGGAGAGTGTTTGTTAGATGTCACGCTCTGACTGAAAAAGATCACACAGCGTAAGGAGTACCGTACTCCACTCTTAACAAGTACAGCAGTTCTGAATTTGATATCAAACCCATCACCATTGTAAGCTCCATTGTTATCTGGCAAATACTCTCCTTCAGTAAATCCAAGAACTTTTTCCTGAGGAGTCTCCTCTCTTATCCATAACTGAACTTTGTCGCGTCTACTTTCCACATCTGAAAGACCAAAAGTGCGAGTGAAGATCCGTCCACCAGCAATGTACACAGGTGACTCTGAAGTCACTGTGAATGAAAGTATCTCCTCACGTCGCCCAGTACCATTACTTGGGGGTCTGTACCAGTGGTGTGGGACAGGAGCCTCTGTGTAACGGGTACAGCGCCGCATGGGCCTTCCACTGCGTGGCACACAAGGAAATACAACATCAGGCTTTGAATTTGAGGTACTAAAATGTAGAAATACATTTAGAGCCTCACGATCACTTAAAATGTCTTGAGGCACAACGTTCTCTGCAAATTGCTTTTGTGACATCACTGGAAATCGCAGGAAATATAGAGTATCACCAAGGATTTTCCTTAAATTGGCCCCAGAGGCTTCCAAACCTTCAACTAGACACTGTTTTTTAGCCCAACGTATGGAATACTCAAATAGCTCCGATTCCTCGATCTTCAAAGTCTCCCTTCGCAGCAAAGATTTAATAGCTACTGCATCAAGTTCCAGAAAACTGGGCGATTCCAGGCACTGTTTGGTATTCAGATCTACAATAAACCAGCATCTCTTCTCCAATTCCTCCTCTCGAAACTGGCGAGCTTGTGTCAACGTCTCGAAGACATTGTTGGGATCGATCCTTTCTTCGAGAAATCGACCACACTTCCGCATCAAAGACAGGACCAAATACTTCTTCGCTAAATACATAACACCGAGGACAGAGTTAGCTGTGAGATGTAGTTCGTCGTAATAGATGAAACGGAGAAATTCAGTCAAGCACTCCGAGTTGCAATCAGGTAGTTCAATTTGGTTTCCTTGTTCTGCTATACCACCATAAAACATAGCAAAGAAAACGGGGCTACTGATTGCTAGCACGTACTTGTGCGCTGGTAAAGCGACTTTTGCAGCGTGATCTTTGGTTGAATCTTGTACAAGAAAGCTCACATCGCTGATCATCGAATTCAAGAACATGTACTTGTTCCTCTCTCGTAAAGTTTCTCTGGTCGACTGCCAATCATCCGTTTGAATCTCGCTTGCCAGATCCATGATTATTAATAAATTAGCAATCCACTTATATCATGAAATTTTTGAAACAAGACAAAGTTTACAGAAAACCAGCAGTGACAAACAGGATTACGTGGCGTAACGTAAGACGCTCAACGAGAACTCTGGGCCATGCGACACTCAGTAACGCCTCAAGCTTCCGGTTACTTTCACTCCTACTTCCGGTAAGTTGCGTTTATTTTCCTCGGTTACAAATTGTATCAAATTATAAATAAACCATCGTGAAAATAAATGTAGATGTTTTATTTCAATTAAATTGTGCCCAATAACAACACAAAAACAAAAATATTTTCTGGTACAGAAACTCCAAGGAAGTTGAGAAGGGGTTAGTAAGAGTGTATCAACTTAGCCATTTTCCCTGGCAAAAAACTTCTTCGTTTAAATTTGAAGGTTAGAAAAATTACAAAAAAACAGCATTGTAGACATGAGGATCGGGTTACAGAGTCTTCTTACAAGTGTTGAATTCTCAGAATGCACAATACACAACACTAAGAATGTTCTATTCCATAAGTATCCATACTTCCTATGCAAAGGGATTTCTTGATTTAAAGCCTTCCCCCTCTTTTAAACCCTCTAAAATATTCATTTTTTTGCTTTACAAATGATCTACCTTAAAAAGTTTTGTCCTTTGGGACCAACCACACCCTTAGAATTTTCAATGAACCTTGGATTTTCAAATTATTAAGCTCTGTGGGGTGTGAAGAGATATTTTCTGAAACCATTCATTTTAATTTTTGTTTTTCGTGATCCACTACATTATCATTGAAATTGAACATCACAGAGAACCGAAATGTCCCAGACCAGAGTTCATAATTTGATTACTTCTTGGAACTACAAAATTGGGTGAAAATTGGAGTGAAGTGCATGAATACAAGAAAACTATGGTCAAAAAGTAAAATCAATAGTCAATTACAACTTTCCAGCTTTCCAACTTACACAAAATCCTTGAAGAAGTTCTCAAAGCTCTAGCACCTTCATGGTCTGTTTTCATGTGGGTATTCTCATTGACTTTTGTTCTTTGCTGCTTTGTGAATTCAATCAAAATATTTTTTTAAGAAAAGTAAAACTCAGCTAGTAATTGACATAGTAGTGCATTTATGCACTATTATTAACTTATCACTGAAATTCAACTTTCAATAGGACATTGATTATATTATTGGAAATATTACAAATCAATCAAAAGATATAGTGTAGTGTAAATTGTGACCACAGTAAATAAGTTTTTCCTTCAAAACAACATTTTTATACAAACATGTAACAAAATTATTTAACTGTACAACACTGAAGAAAAAGCATTCGTTTTGCAACATAAGTTGTATGTAATTTTTTTTGCAATACTTCATAGATTTCAGATAACTTACAAAACTAATTTAAATACCCCTTCAGAATACCAGTATATAACCAAAACTAGCCTGCAGAGCAGGCGAGATTTTTTCGAGCGAGCGCTCACATCGTAAAAAGTTTAGCNACATGGCGGTCTAACATGGCGGTCTAAAAAGGCGGTTGCAAGGTTGTAACGGTAACTCGCCCCAATAAGACGCCTGCACTGCAGGCTAAACCAAAACTTGTTTTTCTGGTTACAATAATAATTCTTAAATGAATTCATCAACCAGAATGAATATGATATTACTGTCTTGATAATTTAAACTTAATGATACAGTTGACTAACATAACTGAGTGACATCCAAGTTCAGTGAGCTTATAAACACTATAATATTTTATGAATCCCAGTAGGGTGTTATGTAAGATTAATGTTACAGCATGAATTTCATTGCACACGTTTGTTGATTACATTCAAAGTCAGATAATTTTCCAGTTCAAAACATACACATTTATCTTGTCAAAAAATAAGTTTGCAATAAAATACAAATGAAATGAGTTTACAGTGGTGGAAATAACTATCATGTACTGAAAGCTATCTGAGGCTTTGATAGATTTAACCCATGAACTGCATGTGACAGTGATGTCTGAGCATTGTTTCTAACAATATTGAGCTAAGAAGATGCTTAATGAGCAAGCAAACAACATAACAACATTGCTTTTCCTCATTCAATGTGTTTTAGAAAAAATTCTTATATCGTGGCATTTCTTCAGATTCTTACTAGGAATAGGAGTAGTCTTACATATGGCACATGTAACTACTAACAACTTAAGTGCTACATGACTTGTATTTTTAGTATCCTATTTAAAATCTTTATTAATTATTAAGGGGCACTTTTTTTAAACTATCAGCATAATTATATTTATCATACAAAGTGCTTTGCGTCAGTGGTTTTCCAGGATGCCATTAAAAAACACTACTCAGAACACTTGACTTGATCATGTTAAATTTCCAAAACATTCCATGGCAAAAATTTCATAAAGAATTAGTATCACCTCTGCATTGCAGATTAGGCTACTATTTATAAATGTGCTTCCCATATAAAAAGAGCATGGGGAAATTGGAGCCTGATTACAGATTTATTAATGAAACATTCATCTATGTACAATAATTCAGCTCCTCCAAACTGAGAATGCAGGACTGTCTATGCTGGGCTTGCTTGGTAAAGGATCACTTCCTGTCAGAACATCACCACTGTCCAGGGCAGCCTGTTGCTATTAATTAATAAATTGTATTAGTAAATTACAAGTAGTGTACATGAAAGAAGGCGTATTTGTATTGTAACCAGTGTTAGTGGGAAATAAAAAAATAATTATGTTTTCACTTTTATGAGAAAACTGCAATCCTTGTNCTTCCTGTCAGAACATCACCACTGTCCAGGGCAGCCTGTTGCTATGGACATAATAAATTATTCTAATAAGTATGCATATTAATGTACCATACTTTCACTTGTAAGTATCAAGTGTTGTGAAGGGTGTAACAACATATAGTGTTGTTAGAGGGCAATTTTCTGCAGCAGTAATTATGTAGAGTGCCGACATAATAACTATTATTTTATAACAAGTATTGTAACTGGTGTAAGTAGCTGTATTAGTAAATTACAAGTAGTGTACATGAAAGAAGGCGTATTTGTATTGTAACCAGTGTTAGTGGGAAATAAAAAAATAATTATGTTTTCACTTTTATGAGAAAACTGCAATCCTTGTCTTTGAAGCGACTGCATAATCCTTTAGTCAACAGGCAATTTTCTGCAGCAGTAATTATGTAGAGTGTCGACATAATCATCTGTCCTATAGAACAATAAGTTAATAGTAAGTTGTGCAATTATATTAAATAACAAGGACTGTTAAAATTATTAATCTTATTGGGAATTTATGTCTAGAGTTTTATCATCCACTTTACTCCTAGTTATGTTACTCAAGTTATGTTTTAATCAGGCATTTCTTGCTAAGCAATTTTTCAGATAATAATATCTGCAAATGTGGTATTATGACAACCCATACCTGATAGTTATGCTGTGTTTTATCACCACGGAGTGTTGGAGTCTTAAACACATATGCCGAACCAGGCCGGGAGAAGTATGCTTTGTCTGTATTCACAATTTTGCCATCTCCTACTTCAACCTAGCAACCAAAAATAATCCACAGTTAAGATTAAGTGAATGCTGAGATTCCTTATAAATTATTAATTATTAAACAATCTTAGCTCAGTGCTCATATATTTCTCTCTAGATAGTTATGTCCAGTATTTACACCTTCAATTCCATGACCCAATACCTATTCCAGTAACAAACAAAATGACTTTGTATTGAGCTGTAGTTAACAATTGGATATGACATCATCAATATACAAAATGTACCAATTTGATATAAGCCATTTGATATCTTGAACAAACATTTCTGTACTATCAGGGTAAATATTTGCGAGCTGTGGCTGGGCATTTCACTAACATGGAAAAATAAATTGTAACAAAAGAAAAGGAAAAATGTTGACTACAATCCAGAATTTGTTACCTTCTTCACAATATCCTTTCTGATGAGTTCAGCTTTAGGTGTTCTCTTGCATCCAGCAGCTAAAGGAAATAACAACTGATCATAAAAAGGTAATTGTAAAGCCTCATGGTTAGTGTGCTTGTTTCCGGATCGAGCAGTCTAGGTTCAAGCCCAGGCTGAGGACTTTGTGTTGTGTTCTTGGGCAAGACACTTTACTCTCACGGTGCTTCTCTCCACCCTGATGTATAGATGGGTACCAGTGAACTTAATGCCGGGGGATAACCCTGTGATGAACTAGCATCCCATCNGGGGGGGGGAAGAAGAAATACCCCTAGTTGTTGATGCTACAGAAACTGTAGATAAGCACCGGCCTGATGGGCCACTTGCCTCATATGCAGACTTCTTTTAGGCCCAACTGGCATATACCTTTTGGCACTTAACTCTGGTTTCTGTAACATGAAGTGACTAGGAGTATTGCTACTCCCCTGGGTGGGATGCTAGCAGAATTCTGTCAAGCCATAACAGTCCACCCTTACCCATTTATACTCCTGGGTGGAGAGGGGCACAGTGAGGGGAAGTTTTTCCTGCCCAAGAACACAACACAATGACCAGGCCAGTCAGGGCTTGAACCCAGACCCCTCAACACAGAGTCCAGTGCAGTGACCATTAGGCCAGTGCACCTATCCATAACTATGTAGTGAATTACTACAGTGCTTTAAAAAAACTTTCAAGTCTGAGTATATAAATGTCCTTTTACAAACCTGCAAAAAATGGCCATATTGCATCGAGTGCGGAGGCAAAATCTACTGCTGATCTGGAAATGAAAGTTACATGTACCCCAAGTGAATCTAGGTTACTACCATGAAAGGACAAAAGAAATTGCCAACTATATAACTTTGATTTAATTATTATAGTGTAGCCTGAAATGTCAGTCAACTCCCTCCCTCAACTTAACCCCCAGGCAAGAGATGCTTTAAGACGGAGCGTTATAATTCTGTCCAGCTGCGTCACTGTCTGTTTCTGATGTGTAAAGTAATTTCTGATTGGTTTTCACTTTGTGCAGGATAGATACAAGTTTCTTATTGGTTAAAACTAGATACAGGCTCTTAGATACTTCTGGGTGTTGCCAGCAACCTGACCTGGCTCCCTAGCTTGACATTTTAATTCAAGACAAATGTAACAAAGACTTTTCTAGGCCTAATGATTTATTAAGCAAGTCAAAATATTATCCACAAGTTGTAGTCAGTTGTAGGCGTAGTTACTTTGCCATACAGCTATAATTACTTTTCACTGTGTTTTTTCTAATATTTTACTTTCCTTAGTGCAATACGTTATTTGACAGTTGAAAAAAGTAACATTTCAATAAATGGAGCAAGGGATGATTCTGTGCTACACTGTGGGATGAAGAATAGACAAATTCACGCTGCGTACTATTGCATACTACTGAAAATATTAAAACACTGCGTTGCTTCAGCCAGTTTCCAGCAGTACATGGTTTGAAATTCAAACTATTATTTTTACAGCAGTTTCTCAATTTCAGCTTGTGTTAGGAATCGAGAGAAACACTACCCAGAATCACGCCAAGTTGCTGTGTCGATAGAACACATAAAATGCAAAAATGCAAGATGTCTGTTTGAAAATAGAATTTATGAAAACTTGTCATAAATTAAGACATGACTTAAACGGGTAGAATTATCATGCTCAGACTTCAGGCATCTTTCACCCAGGAATTAAGCTAAGGGTGGGAGATGACAGACATTTCAGGTGAAACAATGTTATTACTATAGTGTGTGAACAACCAAAATTTAAAAAAATAATAAAAATTATCAACATTAATCCTAGTTCTTCCCAGTGTGATAATGCCAGAGCTTTTTACAACTTTTACATGTGCTTGGTGACTGACTGGATTTTCAACATTTTCTCTACAAATATGACCAAAGCTTAGCAATAGCCCTTTTCACGGTTAATTTTTGTTATTTCCATTACAATATAATCCAACGGGGATGCAAGGCAATTTTGGGCTAAGACTACAAAACAGCCCGAAATTGCCTCACACACAAGGCAAATGAGCAAAGGTAACCGTGAAAAGGTCTATTCAGTTAAAAGTACTTCAAAGCAGTAATGAATACCATTACCTGCCAAGATTATCTCTTATCGACAGATCTGGGTTATGATTCATAAGTGACATCACAACTTTGCCATGTCCTTGAAAAGTTGCACAATGAAGGGCTGTCCAATTTGTGCCTCTATTGCACGCATTTACATCTGCTCTGAAACGTATTTAGTATTTAAAAGTTATAACTTCGGTCACACTTTACCCTGGCTAAATAAAGTTATTTTACACTGCATTGTGCTGCACTGCTTTGCTTGGTATGCTGTGCTGTGCTGAGCTGTGCTATGCTATGCTATGCTAGCACACCAAATACACCAAGATGGCAATGAGAATATCACCAAACAAAAGGTTTAATGAGCAAAACAACAACTTTGCATGTGTGTTATATCTATGTACATTTCTTTGCCGTTCTCTGCAAAACAAGAACGTGAAATGACCACATTCTGCGTAGTCTGAGGAACGTGAAGACGAGGGCTAATATTTCGTATTTCCATTTGGAATTGACCCCTGTCATTGCCTATTTAGCCTGAGCACGTTTAAAGAGCCACTGGCGTACTGAACAGATCTAGACAATCATGAATTTCGCTGGTAAAATATGAATTCACTTTTCACTTGACGTAGTCCTTGGTGTCGCCGTCGTCATTGCTTAAGGTGATTCCTTAGTATTGCGCATCCCTACTACGCACAATTTTCGCGTCATGAGCACATGCATGTACAAAACATAAGAGATTTCCCTCAAACTAAGCTCTACAGTGAGATAAATGCTCCTTTTCTCTTAAACGAGCACAGTGACCCCCACTTTTTATTTCATAATTTCAATGAGAACAATATCCTCAATAACCGAGAAAAAAAATAGCAGAAATCTATGGCTCCATTTTTGGCAAATGAAATAAATACTTCAGAGAGAGACATAAGGGACAAAAAAATGCAGGGTATTTGAAGACATTTTTTCTGGGACGTAGATGAATAAACAATCAAAGAAAGTCAAACTCTGTGTGATATAACACGTTGTATTGAAAAATAATCGAACTTATTTGTTGCACACAGAGATCACCAAAAGTAACCTAAATAACCGTATTTATCAGCATTGTGGCGTGAAAACAAGCACAGTGACCCCCTCATTTTATTACCTTTTTAATATCTCCTTGTTCTGTAACAACAGTATACCAAGTTTCATCAGAAATCTATGGCGGGTTCTTTTACTAAGGAATCATCTTGAGGTGGCTTACTACAGTTTTTCTGAGACTCAACAGCACGCGCTACCATTGCCTACAAACGTCAGTATTAATCGCGCGTTCAAAAGTGACGTAAGTAACCCTAAAGAAATGAAATCACTTCAGCACTTGAAAGGCATTAAATCACTTCAGTATAAGTAGCAATAGTTTCAAACTCCGTTCAAACGTGTTTAAGCCTAGGGCCAAAAAAATATGACAAAAATGCTCTATAAATAACCTGTAAAAGAGCTCTAATTTACTCTTGCTTTCTCGCACATAATACATGGCGTCACACGGGTGTGTGCTTAAATAAATAACCACGCGTGACACCATGCATGTTTTTCTGATTTTTGTGACGTCAGCGTGACCAAATAAATGCTAATTTTCTTGCGTTCCCTTTAGTGAATCTTTTTTTTAATTTGGCTCAGTTCTAACCACATATAATTCCTATAAAATACCCTATTTTTGTTGAAATCTGTCAGAGCTAATCTAATATATTTAGAATAATGACAAATTACAGAATATTGGTAAAACCGTCTGAACAACCCTGACTTTTGAGCTTCCTAATGTCTATTGCACCGGTACGCCCCATAAATTACACCAGGCATATTTGCAGTTATTATGGTTTTCCAAATTTAAGTTTCAAAAGATAATGTTCACTGATATTACACCTGAACCATGCAAATAATACGCTTTACTTACCCTCGATTCAGCAATAGCTGCACAATAGTATTGTAACCCCAGAAAGCTGCAATACAGATGGGTCTAAAGCCTTCTGGTGAACACGAGTTAGCATCAACACCCCGGTCTAAGATCGCCTTCACTGACTGAAAAGATAACAACAAGCGAGCTTTAAAATTTAAATCTTGTGAGAAAATACAATGCTTATAATTGCTTTCATCATCGCTAGATAAAGTGCCAAACGAGTCTGGACATATCAGACCTTTTCGTCGCCTGTTGCCGCCGCGGTTGTCAAGTTCGCTCCGTCCGCCATTTTGTTTCTTTCTTTTTTGAGAAAACCGCTGAGCAATTACTTCTTGTGGGTGAACCCGCTGGACAGATTAACCGCTTGACTCTGCAGTGTCACTTTGCAGTCGATTTTGCAGTCCTCTTCGCAGCGACCTTCGCAGCGATCTAGGAATCATGGCATCCACGTTGGAACAGTTGAAAAAATTCACCACTGTCGTCGCGGATTCAGGCGATTTTGAAAGTAAGACAGAAGCGTTTTTATTTTTAAGAATGATCGTCTCGTCACTGTGGGTGATTTCTTCATTCTAGCCATCTCGCAGTACAAACCCACTGATGCGACAACTAACCCATCCCTGCTCTTGGCGGCTTCCAAAATGCCGCAATATCACCATTTGCTGGAAAAAGCAGTTCAGTACGGAAAATCCAACGGAAGGTAACTCACTGTGGCGCATTTTTCAAATCAATTTCGTAAATTTTGACTTTTTCTCTTCTTTGCATGTCAGAACATTTAAAAGTCACGCTTCTTTGCGTGTTGTGATTGAATGGTATGAAATTATGCAGGAAAAACAGACTACAAGCATAAATTCTTTTGTATATGAGAAACGTCGGTGGCTTTTGTAAGAGCCAATATTAGGGATCAAGTCGAGGTGTCTTACGTAATTGTTTTTTCATCACGAAGTAAACCAATATAGCCCCTTGCACGTCAACAGCATCACGCTTCTTAAACTGTTTATAAAACAAGTGCACTCCCCAGAGCAACGAGGAATTTTTTTCCAGTGCCTCAGGGATGACAGAGCATAACTTAAACGGGGGAGGATGAAAGTTCAAAGTCTGTGGGGGGNGGGATGGTCACTTAATGACATAAATCCTCAGAACAAACATAAAAAACTCATTTCTGTTTTTAATCCAAGCACTCTGGAAGAGCAAGCAACTGCAGCAATGGATAAACTGGTAAGTACAAGACTACGAATAAGAGGCGATTTTTCTAAATATTTAACTGTAAAAAATTGCGATAAAATATTTCTAAGCATATCGAGAAAGTGAAAAATTTGTTAAAAAAATGACGACATTTCAACGTTGAGCTAACGTCATTATCAAGTCAAAATGATAGTTGATAAAAATGTATAAATAGTCAGTAAAACAATAGTTCAATGGATGTGTTGAAATGTTGAAAATTAAACAAAGAGTTTCANTGATGCCTACGCTATACAAGAGATATGTTGATGATACCTTGGCCAAAATGCCTAGCACTGATGCTGCAGTTGATTTTCTGACTACCCTTAATGGCCTCCACCCCAGCCTGTCGTTTATGATGGAGTTTCAACATTTTAACACATCCATTGAACTATTGTTTTACTGACTATTTATACATTTGTTATCAACTACCATTTTGACTTGATAATGACGTTAACTCAACATCGAAATGTCATTGTTTTTTTAACAAATTTTTAACTTTCTCAATATGCTTAGAAATATTTTATCGCAATTTTTTATAGTTAAGTACAAGACTCAGAGGATAATGTCAGATGGTAACCAGCCCTTTCTCTAGTTAGGTAAATAAAATATGTAAATATGTAATTTGTTTACCCACGGAGCACCAAGGAGTTCACAGGAACTTGTTCAGAAGTGCTCGTGCATTCCAGGATCAAATTGGAATTTGGAAATGTTGGTTTTTGAGGAGAGGGCAAAACTGGAGCAGAGTAGAGAAACAACAACAAACTCAACCTACACTTGTTGCCAGGTCCGGGAATCAAATGTGGGACACATTGGTGAGAGGCAAGCGCTCTCACCACTGAGCCCATCCCTGCTCCCCTTAACAATACAGTTGAACCTCCAGTTGTGACCACCTCTCATATTCCAGCACCTCTCCTCAGCGACCAGTTTTCCAAAATACCAAAAGTTTCCAAGTCAAATCACTATATTTGGAACCTCTTGTAAGCGACCACCTCTTGTAAGCGACAGCAACCACTTTCAGAGCGAAATTTTCTTTTGTTTTTAACCTTCCGTAAGAGACCACTTGACTTATAAGCCAGCAGAAATTAGATAATGTGGTGTTGTAACATTATTGCATTCCTGGATAGTACAAGAGATGGAAATTTCTCAAGGGGAAGTGCCGTAATTTTCTCAAAATTGACTTTTCATATGAATAAAACATTTAGAACATGGGGTAAGTCTCTGCAGTTACCCTGTGCTAATGAGGCAAAATATTGTCTGAGCTCTTGTAAGCAACCACCATCCATAAACAACCACCTGGGCTTGACATTTTGGGTGGTTGCTTACAAGAGGTTCCACTGTATAACATGAGGCCCAGGGTGAATTCCACAAGAGTTCCACATGGAAGATGAGGCCATGTCGAAGATCTTCGGCATAACCTACTCTGAATGCACCCTGGCATAAGGCAACGTAGCAAGACATAGTATTGTTAGTATTGTTAAGGCTTTCTCTGGCAATTTGGTAATGCAACTTACATGTACATGTACATGTACATATAACCAGGATGGTAAATGGACAGTGCAAATAAACTTATTTCTCGTTTACGGATACTCTTGTAGAGGGAAGTGGGACTGTCACCCTCCCTTGCTGACTTTACTACTTGTTTATTTTTCTTTACTTAGTTTGTCTTGTTCGGACTTGAGATACTGAAGATTATCCCAGGTCGTGTTTCAACTGAGGTTGATGCCAGGTTCGTAAACGTTTTGTTTTTGTTGTTTTGTTGCCAACAAGCCTGGTGAAATCATTGATATTGATAACATGTTGAAATTCCAAAAAGTCTGGAAAATCTTTAAGTCACCAGATCCAAGACAGATCCTGTTATCATGTAACAACTAACTCATCTTTCCCTGGACAAAGCATCAGCCTACTATGACATTTAATCACAGCCAGCTGTTGTCATTTGAAGATCTGAACATGACCTGTAATATGTATGGACTGTATGTACATCTGTCTTTCAAAGAGTTGTTTTCTTACATGTTCAAGTATTAATCTTTGATCTTTAATCTTTAATATATATTCCTCATTTGCAGGTTGTCATTTGATGTGGAAGGTTCAATTGAGAGAGCAAAGAAGTTTATAAAGCTATATGAGGAAGCAGGAATCAGCAAAGAAAGAATCCTTATTAAGCTCAGCACAACTTGGGAAGGAGTCCAAGCTGCTAAGTTAGTACTTTATAACCTTGCACTCATCATCATTATCATTAATTTAGCCACCAGATAACTTTATTTTTGCAATAAAAAGAATCATGTTAGTAATAGTTCAACTTTGTGTCTGTATACACATAATAGCAGTACATTGTTGTAAGAATGGCTGAAAAGCCCCATCTAAAGTCCTACCTGAAAGCAAGGCTATGGGGATTTACATGGTAACAGCAATATTCACGATAACCTCCTGTGATATACTAAGTATTATACCTTTGAATTTCTCAAGAAGAAAACCAAAAGTTGCATTACATTTGTAACATATATATATACACTGTACCACATCCTGTATGCTTTCCATGAAATCCAACTTCTCAAAGAAGTACCCACCTTTGAGAGCAGTTTAGTGACTCAGGTTAATTCAAGTGCTTGATCTCCAGGGTCATAGCACTGTCTTCTGGAGAAGACACTATACTCTCACAGGGCTTCTTTTCCCAGCAAAAAGTATAGGAAACCTGGAGTAATGGCTGTGATTGACAGGGAGGGGTGGGGGGGGGGGGGGGGGGGGAGTTGTAATACTTTTGATGATGATTACAAAAGTTTTGTACTGACCACATTTTCTTTTTGAATCATTTTTTTTGAAGGACTCTTGAACAAGAAGGTATTCACTGTAACATGACCCTACTTTTCTCCTTTGCTCAGGTAATAATTGTTAAAAGATCTTTTTATCAGTTTATAGTGTGTCAGATAGCCCCTCTTCTCCCTTTGAGGGTAGAATGAGAAGCTGATGAAAACAAGTGCCTCTGGAATTTTTTTCTCTGGCTTTTTTGGATTAGCTTGATGAACTAAGACAAAGGACAGACTACTTTGATATAGTCTAACAGTGTCGTCATGCACAACATAATAATTTATTTTTTTCTGTGGCTCATACCTTGACTGGTGTCTTTGTTTCAGGCAGTAGCTTGTGCTGAAGCTGGGGTCACACTGATCTCACCATTTGTTGGACGTATTCTGGATTGGTATGTCAAGAACACAGACCAGAAGCAATTTCAACCAGCAGATGATCCAGGTTACTAACAATAAATTGATAAGCAGAAAGATAGTTTTAAATTAATGTCAATTGTATGGCAAAATTGTAGAGCGAAATAAACTTTTAAACCTCAGCAGCAATCAATGGCCAATTCGCTGGTAGTTGTATTCATTGAAACAAATATCCAGTTCAAGATGATGAATAAAACTACCATAGACCTTTTGCATAACTGGCACCTAAATTTGAATAACAATGCTTTATAAATCCTTAGCCTCATACTTATGTTTCAAGACAAAGAATTTTTCACATGAATGTGAGGCTTTGGATGTCTTGTTAGTCGAATTTAGGCATCATTCATTCAAAGGGTCTATGATTCCCTGCAGGCGCATATGGAGGGAATTGAGCATTCATTGCTCCTTGTTACAATCAAAAAGTGCATGCTCTATCACGGTGAGTTTGGAGTTTCGAACAAATTGCTGCTGATTTAAGTGCTGTAAACCACCACAAGGCAGAGGTAAAAATCTTGGATGAACCACCATTCACCATTGGTCCTTATTAATGTTATAGTTTTACAATGTACAGAACAATTTTTATGCGGCTTGTCTGAGGTGATCACAGTTCGTAATTTGTCATTGTTTTTTTGTCTTATCACTGATTTACCACATTATAGCTCCGTGAAAGTGCTAACTCCTCAGCCAGACTTCAGATCATGCAACTTTTAAAACATTGACCTTCATGTATTATTATTATTATTATTATTATTGTTATTATTATTATTGTTATTATTATTATTGTTATTATTATTATTAAATTTTACAAATATTCAGCTCCTTATTTAAGGTGAAATCAATATATTTTATTCTAAAAGTGTTTGACTTCCTTTATGTAGAGAGTTAAAGTTTTTTCATTACATGCTCAACCACAGATACATTGGGTGGCCATGTTATATGAATGTATGTTTATTTGTAGGTGTCAAGAGTGTGACAGCAATTTACAATTACTACAAGAAATTTGGTTACAAAACTGTTGTCATGGGAGCATCATTCAGGAACACAGGGCAGATAACTGAACTAGCTGGATGTGATCTTCTTACTATTAGGTAACATCCAAAGTCAGGGAAATCAGGACACTGACTTGTAATTTTGTTGAATGTGATAAGTTTGAGCTTCCTTCTGATGGGGTAAACTGTCTTTACTGTCAGTAGAAAGTTGGCTAGTTCCTACGTGTAGGCCTCCATGTTTCACTGTGGCCAATTTGCCATTCGTCTTGGTTATAAATGAACTACTTTTAGGAATCATGCCCTGGGCAAAAGGTGTACTAGAACTAGGCATTATTGTAACTAGATTATTTCCAGACATTTTAACACTCTGGAGCTATTGTGTTGCAATGTTTAATGAATTCTTTTCGGTCTTGCTGTGTTCGGCACCTCCAAGGTCCCCTTCCAATACTTCTAAGAAAAATGGACATATTGTCTCACAAAACAAGAAACATCTGCCTAGAGGATGAAATCAAGTTTTCAAGGAGTAAATAGTCAATGAGATGCAGCCAAGATTTCTAGTGTGGATAGAAAATGAGGGCAAGCTGTCTCTTATGAAGTAGATACAAATAGGTCAACAGGTGTGAACATGCAGTTTTAGGTAAATTACATGTATATCCAAATTTTTCTCTCTCCAGGGAAATGCGCAATTCTGTTCAGTCAGCACATAGGCATTGATAAGAAAACCAATCAGACTAGCAAGATTCCTGATGAAAAAAAAGAGCCATGTATACTATGAAGCACCTCAAAGGATAATGAGTTGATATGTGTATTGTTTTGTGATTATTTTCAGCCCTTCGCTGCTAGACAAACTAACAAAATCAACAGAGACGATTTCCCAGAAACTTTCAGTTGAAGAAGGTAGGAAAATACATGTATTATCGAAATGGTGACTGTCAAAATCAAATTTTATTCAGCATTTTGAGATGGAGGACATTGTTTCCCAGTCAGTCAAAATCATAGGGAAGGGAAAGGGCTATGTTTGTCACTGAATAAATTGAAGTCATAAAAATTCTAAATTTATGTGCCCAAATCATTAAAAAGCCAGGGAAATTATTTTTTAGCTGGCTCTAGAGTTCTTCAAACTTTGTTTTGGACTTATTTTCTTGAGAAGTTCATAATTTCTAAACATAAATTGATCGACTTTTGGAGTAGTAACAATACATGTATCATCTTTGAGCAATTTTGGCTAAATTTTTTTCCAAAAGCTTATTTCAGAATGAACTAAGAGAACCTTTTGTGTGTTTTTACAGCTGCAAAACTTGACATTGAGAAAGTTTCTCTGGACGAGAAGAAATTCCGCTGGCTTCTGAATGAAGATCAAATGGCAACGGAAAAGTTGGCCGAGGGTATCAGAAAGTTTGCTGTGGATGCTGTGAAACTCGAGGACATGATCAAAGCTGAACTCCAGAAATAAACTTCTTGTCAAGAAGTGTGGAACCACAGTTGGGACATGCATACAAAGAACTCTTAGATATAAGCTTATTAGCACTGACACAATGTAATCCTTGTAAACTGAAAACCGGTATTTAATAGAAATAATATGCCTTGCAGAAGACATCCAGAAATATGAAGGGACATGTCAAAAGATAACATAACACTGACTCTAATATTTCCTGCCCTAGCTGAAACGTGGACTCCATTTTTCTATTTTAGGGGTCGAATAGATTAAAATGTCTTTGGTCTAAATTACTGGCAAATTAACTGTCAGGCAGGGCATTTCCAAAATGTTTTTGCCTGTATTTAATGCAGTTTGGTAGTAGTGACATTGGAGATGATTCTAGCCAAAACAATGAAACTTTAGCTAATAAATTCCTTTTCTATTTCATAAAAAGTCGAAGTTGTGTTGTTTTATGGTCATTATCTTTGGTAAGTTGGTAAAGCCAATTGGGCATCTCACTAACTGTTAAACCAATAGAGAGAGAAAAACAAAACAATATAAAATCCAAGCCAATCTAATCTAAGAGTTTACTATGATTTTAAACACAGTTAGCAACGTTATTGTAGCTATCTCTAGTGCAAAGTCAGCCCAGTCACGTTTTTGAAAGAACGAAAACTTAAAAACAAGATCGCTAAACGGTTCTTTTTTCATGGAAGGTCTTGTCTTGCAGTAAGGGCACAGTCTAGTCCCTGTATTTGGCTTCAAACGCTAGGGAGCAAACTGGACAATGAATGGTTGAAAATTCATGTTACAAAGAGCATTTTAAACAGCGTCCACAAGCGTAATTATAGACGAAGGACAAATGAAACCAGCATTTGTGAAAAATAATATATATTGATAAGGAGTTTTCAAAAGTCTCATAACACATACAACTGTCGGACGTGTCACGCCAAAAAAAGTCGATATAGTCCGTCTGCGCTACCGAATTTATAAATTCTGGTGGGCTACAATTAGGCCAATCACAACCCACTTTGATTGGCCAAATTCTTGCATATGACATCTATTTTCGTGGACTGCAGAAGCTAGCATGCTCAACTCCCGCTAAGGCGGTGTACACAACACTGCGATGCAGCCTAGCTGAAAGAAGTTCCTCTCTAGCAAAACACGTCACTGATCCATTCATTTCATGCCATCAATATGATTATTTGGGGAGTGTAAGCAACCACGTTGTCGACACCGCAGACAACGTCGAATCTCTCGTCAATCGAGTCATTCAGTTTGTTTATTACTGTGAAAACTGATAATCTAAAGACGGTGTTTATCTGAAAAAGGAATTAAAAGATTGGCAGCCGTGGTACGCTTCACACTATGCAGCATTTGGTCCACTTGGTAATTTCACGTTGCTGTTTTGCAGATGTACCAAAATTTATAACGCACGTGCACAGCCATTGTTCTGCTTGTGAAAGCTTTTGTTTCGCGAAGCCCTGGGAACGAGGTTGCTTGCCACTGTGGTTTGCTTGAACTCTCTAACATTACAGTACTTCCACAAAAGTGAGTTCTGGCTTCAAAAAGCTATCTTCAACTGTGCATAATGACAAGTGTATAAAAACCTACTGCAAGATTACTAATGCTATGGAAACACTAAGTAAAACTAGAAAGAGAATGGACAATAGACCGTGACAGCCAGTAGTCAGTGCGGCCTGGGGTCTTATAAGGGATCTAAGCAGGTCAAGTTGTTGGATCTGGAAATACAGGTCATGCAGTTCGCATTTTCTCCTGGCCTTCTGCTCAAGTTTCGTTGCTGTATCTGTATCGCCTTTGCGATACGCGAGCAACGATTGAGCGTAGGTGAAGTAGATTTTGCTTTTTTCCGTCAACGTCATCGTAGAAATGCGGTTCAGGACAGTCTCAGCGATGGCAACATCTGATGTTGCGACGTCTTCCAAGATGCCATGCTGATAAAAACCCAAATAAACAAGAGCTTCGCGAAGCGTTGCTTGTGCAATGGAGGCACTTTTATCGACTGTAGCTTTTTCCCAGCACTTGATACATCTATCCAAGCGAAACAGAATTTGTTTCTGATCTCTTTTTCTATTTTGGCCGCTTGACAGGACTATGTTTGCTTTAGCATTGTCCACCTCAGCAGCGTCATCCTGGCACTCGCTTTGACTCAGCATCATCTCTGCCTCGTCCACCTCTTTCATGGCTTCATCGTCATCGCCCAAGTCATGTAAAATCAGTGCTTTGCGAACCTTAATCCTTGCATGAATTAAAACCCTGAGCGTTTGAAAAATAAACAAAGAGAGAGTTTCGGTTAGCGTTAATATAAAGAGCTTACAGGCGCTTTATAAGGTCGAGTGTTGAGCAGAGCGATATCGAGCATAACAACAGATGCACATGCCACTTTGTTTNATCAACGAATTTCTGACTTCTTTAAGTTGATGAATAGCGTCAAGAATTCTTCTTCCACGGCGGCTGGAGCGACTTTGGGTTAGCGCTTGTGTGTACTTTAGAGCAAACACCAACGTGGTAACATCCCATTCTTCCACGTTCCCGCACGACAAGTTGTCCTTGATGTGTTGGTAGTCCCTACGATACGCCGGATCATACAGCCGTGACTCTGCTCTCTCTTCTGCTAATAACTGTGAACCGCTTGTTGAGTTATTTTGCCACGGAGTAGATTGATAAAGACTGTTCCATTCTTGTATAAACACTTTTCTTAATGCTACAGTCGAGTGATCTACTAAACCCTTTGCGAGTCTAAAGAATCGAAGCTCTCCGTCGCTGTAAATCGTAGACATCGTCTAAACAACAAGGCAGTTGCCAGTGAGTTACTAAAATTACAATATGCGTAAGTTCAGGTTCATCATGTTTATATTCCTCATATCCCCATATGGGGGATTATAGAATTGCAAACCACGACCCCTATAAGGTAAATCAAGAGATTCTTGGAAAAAGAGTTTTTCACCAGATCGGTGAGATCTCAAAAGTAACGAAAAATCTCAAAAATTCTTTTTGTTTTTAAAAGACCCAACGTTCGGCTAAAACTTCAGCCTTCATCAGGGGAAAGTGACAAGGAATTTGTAAATGCAACAGCAAGCCAGTGTTGGTCGGTTTTCTGTACACTTGTGTTTCAATCTTTGTTCCGTTCTTGAGTATTTCCATGCCGATAAAGGGAATCTTGTTATCAACCGGAAGCTCCATCGTAAACGACAGGCTGGGGTGGAGGCCATTAAGGGTAGTCAGAAAATCAACTGCAGCATCAGTGCTAGGCATTTTGGCCAAGGTATCATCAACATATCTCTTGTATAGCGTAGGCATCAAACCATTACAGGTAAGCTTGTCTTCAAGGTGACACATGAGAACATTAGCCATTAGAGGGCCAAGGGGCGAACCCATTGCCACGCTGTCGACTTGCTCATACAGCTGGCCATTAAATTGGAAAAGTTGGTTAGTAGTGGCGATTTCGAGGAGTCTGGCAGGTTGATCCTTTTGTAGGTTAAGGTCATAGGTTTGGTTGAACCAATCGCTGGCAAATGCTTTATTGACTAAGATGTTGATAGTCTCATTTAAAGGTACGTTTGTGAAAAGGGATGCGACAGCGAAAGAAACCAAAATGTCATCATCTCCAATGGGTGAGTTGTGTTGACATCTTTCTCTTTCCGCTCTGCAGAAAGATGTCAACACAGTTTTACGTGAAACACTACCAAGGAACATCGCTGATTCACTTTGCCCCAACAGTTCCAGACTTGCTCACCTTTACGGTCTTTCCAAGACCCACAAAGCCAATCTTAGTATGAGGCCTATTTTATCTGCAACTGGAACCTACAATTACAACCTGGGTAAATGGTTGGAGGAAAAGCTGAAACCACTCTCTATTAACGAGTACACCATTACCGATGCCATTCATTTCTCTGAAGAAATCTGCAACTCACCCATTGGAGATGATGACATTTTGGTTTTTTTCGATGTCGCATCCCTTTTCACAAATGTACCTTTAAATGAGACTATCAACATCTTAGTCGATAAAGCATTTGCCAGCGATTGGTTCAACCAAACTTATGACATTAACTTACAAAAGGATCAACTTGCCAGACTCCTCGAAATCGCCACTACTAACCAGCGTTTCCAATTTAATGGCCGGCTGTATGAGCAAGTCGACGGCGTGGCAATGGGTTCGCCCCTTGGCCCTCTAATGGCTAATGTTTTCATGTGTCACCTTGAAGACAAGCTTACCTGTAATGGTTTGATGCCTACGCTATACAAGAGATATGTTGA